TTTGTTTTTGAAGTTTATCATCATTGTGCATGGGGATGTCGTGGTTTATTTATTCCAATACGATATAATAGTTCACGAGCAAAATGTATCAGGTTGAATCTCGATTTTTCTATCTTTACATTTTTTAATATTTTCATTTCTTTTTTTTTTGTCTAATTATTTAAATTTAGATGTTCATTTTGCGATAGTTTTCTTTCACCAAATAAATTTATATTTCATTCTCATCGTTTACCAAATGTATCCTATGTTCAACCGGATAGTCCAAATTTTAATGCATGGCGTCGTCATTTACGTTTACATAATCCAACACAAAGTGAAGATTTACGAGATGCATGGGAAGATGTCAAAGCTATGTTTAATGGTGGTAATAGAAAACGATCAACATCAGGAACAACAACAATTTCTGCGAATATTTCAAAATCATCAACAATGAATAATAATAATAATAATAATAATAATTTTATAAATGAAAATCATGAACAAAAAAAAGAAACTAATGAAGATGATCAAGAAGATGATGATAAGATAGAAGATAAAAAAGAAGATGATGAAAAATTAATTTTACCAATTCCACCAATAGCAAAAGTACAAAAAACAAAAACAAGAGAAAGAAAAATACCAACACATAATGTTGTTTCATCAACAACAACTGATGAACAATTACCTGATATGAACATGTTTCTACCACCACCTTTACTAACGGTACCTTCACTACCATCATCACATTATTTTTCTTTTCCACCACCATTGCCATCATCAAATTCTTTATCTCTTGTTAATCTTAATTCAACTGATTGGTTACAATTTTTTCGTGCACCATTATTTGTTCCAAGTTCTTTTCGTTTACCATTATCATCTATTCCAAGACGATTTCCATTTGATATTAATCATCAAAATCCATCAATTATTGGCAGTGGTTCACATTCAGCTTTTAAACCACCAATTCAAAAACATGAATAATTATGTATAAAAAAAAAATACACATTTTTACGTTGTCATTTGTTTTCTGTTAGCTGTTTGTGGTCAAGAGAAAAATAAATAATTACTTCTGACAAATTATATTCATTGCTTAATTAATCATAATTGTTACTTAAAAGACAATAGAAAATAGAAAAGTAAATATTATCATCATAGACATATCATATTATTAAACTTATGAGATCATCATAATCTAAAGATCATATAGTAACCGAAGTATTATAAAATTAAATGAAATTGGACAAAAAAAAATTTGTTACAGCTATCACATTTCTCTATTTGAATTATTTGAGAGATAATTTTTTTTCGATGATCTCTACAAAAAACCAGCACTTTATACGAGCGAAACTGTCGTTTGTATCATTTTCTCAGTATCTTTATGAGTATTTTCAGTTGCTATTAAAGTTTAATAATTAGTATCATTCGGTTTACTGCATTGAAATATATTGTACATTGTAGCGTAGTGCTTAGAGCGCACTCTATGTAAAGAATAAAAGAAACAAAAAAAAAAACAAGAATTGTTACTATGCTGTTGTCCTGACACGAACTATAATAATGGTAATGTTATTATTTTTTAAAGAAGTATGTGAAGAGTATCACATAATCGATTAAATAGAAAAGAGTCTTTTCTCATTTGGGATATTAATCATGGGATCATCTAATAAATCCGACATGGACCGAATTGGTCTATTTAAAGAAATGGAATATGTTACAATAAAAGATCCATTTAAAGAAGCTACTCGTGGTGAGTTTAATTTAATTTATTTCTAATTAAAAATTTATTATTAATTTATTTTTTTTTTCCTATTTTTTTTAAAGTTAATTTCAATGAAGCAGCTTATAAGAATAAACAAATAATGACTAGATGTTCTAAACAACGATCAACAGGTTCACTAGCAGGATACTTTGATACTCAATTTAAATTATTACCTGGTTCTTATATTGATCCTATATCAATGCGTCGTAAAGCACGTAATGAAGCAAAAAAGAAAAATATTGTTAATAAACCATTTGTTACCATGTATCAACCTCAAGATCCGTAAGTTAAGACAAAAAATAAATTTTTGTTATAAAAAATTTCAAAAAAAAAAAGAATTTTTTTAAAATTCAAACAATTTATATATATTTTAGTGAAGGTCTCGGTTCATTTTATGGAACAATTGGTGGTGCTATAAAAGATGTCGATCCAACCAAAGCAAAATATCGTGAACAAACAAAACCACCATCTGAAAAGCCAAATTTCAAAGTTAATCCACCAAAAAAAGGAACGGGTTATGGGTATGTACAATTACTCATCGAATTCTACTTGGAATTTTGTTTCTTTTGTTAGTTATCCTAATGTATGTCTTGATAAAGATCCTCCATATGCTTATAAAGATAAAACAGATAATTATAATGCACCATTAGATGCTCAGCGAGTAAGAGAACAAAATTTGTTTCTTTTTTTGTTTCGCAAAACAATTCTTTTACTTGATAGAAAGATTATACTCAGCACAAATCATCAATGAAAGCTGGTGTATTTAAATTAAATATGCATCCGACGGAATATTTTAATGGTAATCCATATCGTGATGATGGTAAAGGTAGAAAAAGTCGTGGTGATACCAAAGAACGTTCAAAATCAGCACCATCAGGCAAAAAACCATTTAAATATAGTTCACCTGGCAAATCGGTTTGTTTGATTTCGTTTTTTTTTAATCAAAAAACAAAATTTTCTATTGAAATTTTTCCTTTTTTTGTTTCTTTATCTAGCTTGGTGGTAATAAAGATGGTTGTTTTGATAAATTTCCTAAACGTAGTGATAAAGATCCTTATGTTGTTGGTTCAATTTATACTCAAGTTAAAAATGAAGTAAATAAACAAGGTAAAACATATTATCCAAATAAATTTCCGAAGACACGTCCAATTGATTCAGTTATACATAAAAATATTAATTTAAAAATTAGCCGACAAAATTATAAACAAGCATTACAAAGTTATCAAGGATTTCAAGTACCACAAAGAAGCGCTTCTGTCTATTAGAATATTTTTTTTTTCTTTTTCTTTTTTATTTTTTAAATATACATATAGATATGTTTTAAATGTAAGGTTCTAATAATTGATCAAATTCTTGACGTTCTTCGCGTGATAAAGATTTTAAATGAAAACCACGGATTTCTGGTTTTTTTTCTGCATCATATAATATTTTAATATTTTCTTTTAATTTTTTTTCTGCTTGATTTATTTCAAGATTCATTTGATCAAAATCTGAATAAAAGAAAAAAAAAAGAAAATTTATTTAAATTCTAGAAATGCTGTTTTTTTTTGTTTTGTTTACCTCGATCAATTAAACGTTTACAATCTTTTGTTGGTATTGCAAGAAAATTATTATTTAAACACATCCAAGTCATTTTTATATTTGTTGGTTGTTTATGAATAGCTCTAAAGAAAAATGAAAATATAGAAATTAATTGAAATTTCATTATAAAAATAAAAAACATACCGACTAGCTTCACGTAATTTATCACGTCGCTTATTTAATTCAATTATTTCTCGTCGTTCAGCAAGAACATTTTCAGCTAATGATTCAATTTCTTCTAAATATTTAAGAACAAAATCTGGATTATCATGTACACCTGCTTGGGTAAGACGTATTTGTTGTTCTTGATTTGTCATCTAGAATAATTTGAAATTTATTGTTTATAATCAGATAAATTCTTCGACTTGAGAAACTCTGAAGATTTAATATCATTGTATTTTGTTCTTTAATAAGCAAGAAATTCTCATCCGATATCGAACTTTTGTTCGCAGTACTGCAAGCTCGGTCAGAGAACAGCCAACGGTTCAAGTATCAAGCTAATGCTAGCTTTTATCCGGTTCGAATCACATCGAATGGGTAAAATAAACGATTGCAAAAGTTTGTAATTAGAGTTAAATCAAAATACCATAGAAAAGATGTCACAGTTTTGAAGCTTCTCTTTGAGAAAAAACTATAATGAAAAACTTGTACTAGCATAGAACACAAGATTTAGTTGCAGAGTTCTTCGAAGAGAACGTCATCACGTTTTTAAGGCTCACTTCCTCTCAGAAATCTATCTTTTGCTTCAGAACAATCAATCTGGCTGAAAATTTCAGAGAATGTGTGTTCGATTCGTAACAGTTCACAGTAAAAGTTTTGGCTCAAAATATTGAGCTACCATAACATCAAGGGCTAAAAAAGTAGGTCTCCGCGTGACAAGGATTTCTCTTCGAAATCTAATGTACAGATTTCGGGTTTATTTTAAAATGCAGCCAAGAGCTACCGCTATAACTGAATAGAGCACAGTATTTTGAAATATTGTTTCTTTACTTCTGATCAAATGTCTGCTAAAAAAAATTGAAATATTAAGATGTCTCTACGGAAAGCCGTTAATTTTTTTCAAGAAGCAAATCGAAAATAAAAATTTCAGCTTCATTAAGCTGTAGAGTACAATATTCTCTTCAATTACAAATCATGTTGACTTTTCTAGCATGTAAAATAGCCGAGAAATCTTTAACAAAAGAACAGGAAAAAAATAGAAAAATCTAAATTCAGTAAATCGCATTAGATATTGAGGTTTATTCAACCAAGTTAAAACCTCGAAATCGAATTTTTTGACAAAAATCGTGATTTCTGACAGGAAGGTAGATGGATCTTAAATAAAAAATAGAAAGAGAAAAATCAGAAAAATCAAATAGACTTTGTCATGAAAAGTGTTTCTTGCGTAATAGAATGAAAATCATTCTGGGATTTTTCTTGGTATTCAATTATTTAAATAGATTATTACCAACATTGAGGATCTAATAAATGTTATAAAAACCAAAAAAAAAACAACTTTTTTTTAATTTGTCCTAGTTTTATCATGATGACTTGAAACAAATTTAGTATTAATAATTATTATTGAATATATATATATATTTTTAAAGCTAGTTCAAAAACTAAATAATAAGCAAAAGAATAAATGACGGGGTGTAGGATATCGTTCACTTTTGATGTTCAAATAAGCATGCTAAAAATTATTTATTTATTTGCCAGTATTATTAACTTTTTGTTGTTCAAGAACAGCGTCAACATCCTAGAAAAACAAAATAAAGATAATTAAAATTTTTAAACAAAAAGAAAAAAACCAATAAATTTTTTTCTTTTACTTTACGAAGAATCTCTTTTAATGCTTGATAAGCTACATCGAGTTTATCATTTAATATAATATGATCATACATGCCAGGTTCTTTACTAAATTCCATTGATTCTTTTGCTTCTTTTAAACGTTTATCAATAGCAGCTTCACTTTCTGTTTTTCGACCACGTAAACGTTGTTCAAGAACTTCATAACTTGGCGGACTTATATAAATAAATAAGGCATTAAGATCTGTTTCACGAATATTTTTAACACCTTGTTTATCAACATCAAGTAAACATATACGACCTGTTTGTGCAACATCTTCAACAGATTTTTTACTAAAAACAAAAATTTATTTATATAAAAAAAAAAACATTCAAGCTTTTTTCATTTAATAACCTTGTTCCATAGAGATTCGATGAGAATTCAGTTGTTTCAAGAAATTCCTT